CGCTGACTGCCTGAGACTCGCCGATCGCGAGAAGAGAAGCGGAGGAGAGAGAGGGTAGAGAGGAGACGATCGTGGTGGGGAAGGGAGAAGCAGTGACACCCTTCTCTCAAACTTGCCAAGTTGCCTTTCTTCTTATCAACATTGCCACTCTGGCCGTCTTCGGTGGGAATAAACTGATGTATTATTTATGACAGGTTATGTTTATTAATATCCTAAACTTAATTAAATTATTTTTCGATCGTGGATAATAACTAATCTCATCCTGGAAATATTTAATCATCTGTCTTGTCGCTTACAGGGTACAGCATTTGTTGCCCCTCGAATTGATTATTGGATGGTGTGTCAACGTCGATTTGAATTTACTTCATTCAAGTTTTAATGTAAACCAGCTAATGGATAAACACTTAATTGAATTATACTGAACGTTCGATGAGTCGAATCCTAAACATTTTAGTCAATGAAATGGATCAGTAAATTATCTTATTGGAACCCATCCGGATAAATAATATTTGACTTTTTATAAAGATAAAAAAGAGAATGTGGGATTTGAGGTAATATATTGTAATAAGTTTTTACTAATTAAACTATCCGAAATCTTTAATAATTTTAAAATTAATTATTAATATTATAAAATAATTATTTATAGATAGTGCTAGGGGTGTTAAAACTGATTCGAATCGAATCATTTTATTTTTTCAGATCGATTCCCATAAAATAAGATAGTTCGAACCAAAATCAATTCAAAATCAATTAATTGATTTATAATTTTAAATAATTTAATAAATTAGTTAATTTTTAAGATAAATATACCAAATTTTTAGAATTATAGCAACAACATGAATCCTCAAGATTCATTAAATGATAAATACCAAATACGTAGTAATAAATATTTCATATTTTATAGTTTCTATATTAAATTGAATCTTTAATATTAATGAATTAAGTTGAAGCATTAGATTGAATCAATCAAATATTAAAAGATGATTTATTCAAAATATACAAAGGTCAAACTTATATCTTTCTCGAACCAAACTCTATAATCATTCTTTACATGATATTTTTTATTACGAAAGTAGTATTTTACTATGAAGATTTTTTTTTATAAATTTATATAAGATTTATAAATTGAAATGATTTACACTTTACTTTTATTTTATTATTATCAACTTCTTAGTACTTAAAATATTGAGTCTTTCATACTTTAATCTTAATTCTTCCTAAACATATATAATAATCAGTTTGTTAAAGTTTTATTTATTCTTAGTTTTATCATAATGAATTTTAAATAAGTTCAACTAAGAAGAAATAAAATTAAAAATAAATTATATAAAAAAACTCAATTATATTCATGCCATATTGAGAATATAATATTTATCATTTCAACTAGTATTATCACCTGATGTAAATTATATATACTTAAAATTTTTAGAATCAATTAATCCAAAAACTATACGGACACCAAAAGTATAAAAATGCATTGAAGAAAGTATCATTATAAAATATAAAATAATATTAATATTTTATATTTTTTAAAATATAAAAAATGATTGACATTATCCGTATTTCATCTTTTGGTAAAATATTGATATATCCAATGTTCACTCAAAATTATTTATAAATGACTAATATCATTGTAATAGTATTACTTCATTTGAGAATGTAAAAATAGATTGGAAAGATATCTAAAACAGTATCATCATATAATTATTCGAAATAGATTATTCTTTGTTATTATCTAAATATCTTAATTATGTATCTTATTGTGAATATTACTTTTTAATATTATTTTTGACTAATTCTTTAGTATAGTTTTATAAGTTATTGGTCTAAGCTACCTTAATGGTAACAAGACTAATATAATAATATAAAATATAGTTTAAAATATCATATAAATTATAAAATATTTATTATAACTTATATCTCATAAATCTATTGTCTTAGGTCACTTTAATACCTATTAGTCAAATAAGACTTAATGATGTAAATTACAAATAATATTAATCAATTTTTTTAATCTAATATATGCCAAAATAATTTGATAATAATAAAATAATAATTATTGAATATTAATTAGTATAAAAAAAAACTCAAATGGCAACTATAATCATGATAAACATGTATCATGCCTTTTATGTGAAATATCATTTCATAATTTTCTTTCATGCTTATATGTATTTAACAACCACATAAATATCTAAAGTAATAATTAAAATGTTTAAATAGCATAAGTAATTAAATTTAATAATAATAAATTATATCACATGGATTAAAATAAAATATCTATACTTTATTTTTTCTATTTAATTTTGATAAAAATATTCATCAAATTTTATAACATAATTTATTAATATTAAATTATGGCTATTGAGATAAAATTACCAAATTAGAAAGATAAAATTATAACAAAGGATATAAAAAAATCAATTTCACGACGGTATAATAGTAATTCTATAACTAAAGGTGTAACTAAAGAAATAAAAATTTGAAGGGTAAAACGGATAAAAATGAACTAAGGACATAGATTAAAATTATTTGATTATGAATGATAAAACTAGAAAAATATACTAAATGAGATATATTGGAATTATTTAATTTCTAAAGGGTAAAGGTGTCCTTTTATTGAATGAAAAAATAAAACCATAAAACCTTCTCTTGCATCCATTCCATCGCACCCATGCGCACGGGTCCTCACCAGTGATTGCAACGGTCATTCACCGCTTGCGCGCTACCGTAGTGAGTGGTCGTTCTCATGCGGTCGATTAACAATCGTGGTGACATCTCAGCCACCATCCCATCACACATGCCACTTGTCCTCTAGCGGTAGTGCAAAGAAACTCCACGATCATCATGATGCGTGGCTGTGCTCACCCGTCGATTGGCCTTCACCGTGCATTCCACCACGTCCACGCTCGATGGTCCTTGCATGCACGGCTATCACTGCTGCATGAGCGTCATCGACCATGCATCTCCTTCGCAGTCAACCAACAAGCCTTACAATCATCACACAAATGCTGGGCGGCCTGCATCAACAGCAAGCATGTCCATAACTGACTGATTGCCCCTGCGTGCCATCAACACAACACAATTGTGAGCCATGTGATGTAGCCTACGATCGATCTCAACCGCCGATCATAGCCGCACCATAGTTGACATTGTCACAACCACTTTCACTGTCCTCGTTGCTATTAATTAAGGGCGGTACTACCTTCCTATGCTACCACACACATTCAATGTTACTGCACACATCGCTCGTGTGTAGTGCCACTTATGGCCCAATCCTACTGTAGTAGGCAGCAACAATGCCACCCAACGTAGTCATTGCCGACTATAGGGCTGGGCAACCAACAGAGGCCACCACATCTCAATAGTACTTTGGGCGATAGTAGGCCGTCGATGATAGCTTGCCGAACATATATAAGCAGGATACTTTTGTCATGGTTTCATTGACGTTTTAAGCGAGGAGCATGGAGGAATAAATTTATAGATCGGACAAGATGAACAAGATATAAAAGCAGATCAATAAGATCGTTCAAGCCTCTTACAATCAAAATTGGATTAAAATATTTTCACAAACGAATTGTGCTAATAAACAAATTTAAATACAAAATAGATCTTACATATTTTTATGATATAAGATATTTAATTTTAAAATGACTCTAATACTAATTGTAAGCATAAAAACTATAATTATGTTTTTGTTGTATGAAAAAAATTTAATATAAAATTAAAATCAAATAATGATAAATCAAATATTATAATTATATATCTTTTTATGTTATTCAAAAAAATCTTTATCAAGTACATCGTCATCCGATTATAAAGAAACAGTGACGTCAATTTGTAAGGAGAATTAGATTCGTCTTCTATTTTTTTATATTCTTCGTAGACCACTTTAAACAATGAAGTTAGAGGAATGATAGAAGATATATAATCTTCATATTCTTCTCAATATATAATGTCATGTCATATCATATCATGTTACATTAGATCGTGTATTAAGTCCTTAAGATATCATGTCTATTTATATGTGAAAGCAGAGAGTATATGGTAAGCAATTAAGATAGTCACTCTAAGAATCCTATTATAATTAGATTTTTTAATATTAATCAATAATTATAATTAGAATTCAATTAAATCTATAATATATCTTGTCTAATTAGATATAGGTACATAAGCTAATAATTTTAAGTCTAAAAATTTAATACCATAACGATGAAGATAAAATATGATGTCGCTCATAATATTTTTTAATAGTCTTAAAGTGTTTTCAGTACCTCAACAAAAATATTATAGCACTATTAGAAGTCATTATAAGTAACCTAAATAAGTCTAAAAATATGACATCGTATGAACAATGTGAACCAAATAGTCATAATAAACTAGTTTACATATTTTTCAATAGCTTTATCGTGTTTATTATTTCAATAAAAACAGTAAAACGCTGTTGAAAAATACTATAGCAATTAAAAATCAATGAAAATCTAATGAAAAAATTAACGAGAAAAATACCATTAGGATTAGTGAAGGGTATTTTGAACATTAGTAAATTAAGGTGCTCCATTTGAGAAAAAACAAAATAAGGGACGTTTTTGGAAAAACAAATAATTTTATTTATTGACGGATATTATTGAAGAAATCAAAGAAAAAACGAAAATTATATTTTTAAAATTTTAGAAAGTAGAGATGCTCAGTGAAAACAAGAAAAGAAGGCACTCAGTTTTTTTCCTAAAAAATATTCTTCCTATTTTTACGTTAAATAACAAGTTAATTATTTCCCCATCGCTCCTTTTTAATTATATTATATATATACATATATATAATATGTATACATACGAACATAATTATGCATACGAACCGGGGTGTCTTTGCATATATACTACGTTCTCTCTCCCGTACACGTAATCGATCACCCTCCGTTTCTCGTCCTTGTTTTTATTTATTTATTTAATAATAATAATAATAATAATAATAACATTCTTGTTATTATTAATTTTGTTTTCTGGTCCGTCTCTGCAAAGATTCCATTTCCTCCCGAGCATCCAATGGTTCTCTCCCTTGTTGTTTCTTCTCCACTAATCCACCTTCTATCTCCGCTTCGAAGAAACCGAGAGGTGGGTCTGCCTGTCTTCTAGCACCTCGTCGTCGGCGTGCCCGAAGGGAGTAAGTTCGTGGTTTCTCCGGCCGCCCTCCAGCGGCGGCAATCCCTGCTCAGATGCCGGTCGTTGATATCACCCCGATCTGCCTTGTCCATTTCCAGCGATCGGCACCGGTTATTCTTGGGACATTTGTGGCATCCACCTCCGTCCTCTGACGGCCTGGCCCTAGGAGGGAAAACCCTGCCCCCTATTCCATTTGCGTTTAATCCAAACATAGGATGTCAACGTGAATTTATGCGATTATTCCTAATTTTGCGTCCTCAATGCCTTCAACTCTCGCTGAGACCGCCTAACTTGGTTGGTTTCCGTGAATGTGTCTTGGATCGGTATTAGGAAGATTCAATTCAACTTTATGTACTGCATAAGTCTGCTTAGAACCCAGATCCATTTGTACGGTACGGCCTAAGTCCCAATATTCTGTTGATATCCATTGGGGTTTGGAAGTTGGCAGATAAATCCCGGCTTTGCTTCCCACGCCGCAATTGTTCTTTTCTTTTGTTGGTACTGCATGTGTTGGGATAGCGTCTCCATCACTGACCTAATAGATATGGGTTGCTGTGGTTGCTTTGGATTTTTGAGAAAGCGCCATCGATCCCTAATGCCTCTCAGAGGCTCTGGTGCCCCCTTGTCCCAGGAGTTCCTTCTGCCAGAAAATATGGATGATGCTGATGGTATCTTCTACAACGGAGACTATGCAAACACTCTAGATGGAAGTGACACTGATTTGCAGCGGCCATCGAAACGTTCTGAAGAAATTATCTCGGATAGAGCTAAAAAGGGATTGATATGTAGGGAAGTCCCGGTTAAAGAAACTAGGAAGGTTATTGTTTCTGAGGTAAAACTTATTTTTCTTTCATACTTATGCTGATTTAGAACTCGTGAATCATTGTTTTTCTCAGTTTAGACATACATGCGATGCAGCTCCTAATTATGTATGTGGTTGCCCTATTAATTTTGGTTGAATTGCCCATTTTGAAAGCTTGCCTCCCTCTAATCTTCGAAATGTTTTATTAAAGGATAGTGAGTTCTCGAATCTTCATCTGAACATAAAAAAGTTACACAATAATTTTGCTTAATGCATGTGTGCATGCAGATGTTACCTTGATGTGACCAGCAGAAAAGCTTACAGATCCAGTTTCATCCATATTCAAAATATTTATAGACTTGCTCAGGGGCTCCAAATATGTTAAATACCTTGTTAGACAAGATTTACACTTCTTCTGTGTGACTTCTGCTGTACCAGCATATGAAATAAAAATACTTTGGTGATCTCTAGGCAACTTTTGCTGCAAAAAATTTATCAACATGGTACAGTTGGATTTTTTTCCTCTTTCAAGGTATCAAAGTAGGTCAACTTTGTCTTTTTGGGGTCAGTTTCGTTACCTTCCATTTTGTGTCTGATGGTCAAGGCAGTTCATCTGATATAAGGTGTTAAATTGTTTTACAAAATTAATATTGAATTTTATATATTCAAATTGCTTACAAGTCTATATGTCAATACATGTCTCTGGAACTTTAAGAGTTCTGATGCTGGATTGAGAAAACTACGTCTACATTATTTTTTGCTTCTTTATTAATTTGCAACCATTCTGATTATTCTTTGTTATTTATCTGCAATAGGATAATAGTGGAAATAAGATGGTTAATGAATACATCCGGGAATGTAAGATTGGTTCTGGTAGCTATGGCAAAGTGGTAAGCTTGATACTTTGAAAAAGTCACTATCTTTTGCTATCTTTTGTGAAAACAAAAATTTCTCACAACTGTATACAGGTCCTGTACCGAAGCATCAAGGACGGAAAGCAATATGCAATTAAGGTACTACATTTTTTTTGTATTTACGTTTCTCTTTTTGAATTAATGTGTAAAATTAGAACAAGAAAATGAACTACATATATCAAAGTTTGTCTTATCTATTTGTCAACATAAATCTTTACATTTGTCAACATAAATCGAAAATTGCTATGTTTTCATCCATAAAAAAATGTTAAATTTCCTCTAGAGTGGTATAAAAGAAAAGTGACTCTGCATTGAACCAATTCAATCAGGTATGTTTGTGCATAAATTGTCATTGTATTTGACCATAAAGATGAAGATCACCTTGTAGAGTATGACTGTGTCTCCTCAGGTGATTGAAACAAGCATCACTAGTCCAGAATATAACTATGTAAGCTATAATTCTTTTTGTTAAGGTTGATGAGTCATTTCTGATGCTGTGATGAGTTGAATGGCCATAACCTGTTGATAATTCTTGATGTTGCCTACTAGATTGAACCGTCAACTCCTAACAGAATCCAAGTGTTAGATTTCCTAGGATAACACCAATAAACATTCGCTTTCTTCAACCAGATTATAGAACTATCTTTGGACCAAAATTTTGACTATCCTAGAAACATTGGAATTTGATCACAGGCCTGGATTATGTGGCTTGTGGAGATTGAATAAAATTTCCAATGACCTTGCGAAGCTTTCTCTTCTAGGTCATTGTCAAAAATGGTCTCCAATGCAGAAAACGATTCCTTACTTGTCTTTTTTATTTGTTCTATAAAATTTTAGCTGTTTCATATTTTGAACTTTTTTACTTCAACCTCTCTGAATGATTGTGTTGTCTTTGTGGTTTTTAGCTCTGTCTAGCCCAATAGTGAGAACTGTCATTCTTCTGCAAATTTGAAAAATAATTTTTCTCCAATGTAAATTCTTATGCAATAGTTGGCCATGACTATTGTTTGTTCATTTCCAAGATTTTGTGGACTTTGCTGGTGATTCTGTGGTCCAATGGGATTGATAATGCAAGAACTCTATTTTTGAATAAATTTTTCTAGATTCTTAACATTGCTTCCTCTATTACTTTCTGATTGTGGATCTAAAGCCAACTGAAACTGATGCTGAAGTCTTTGCCATATGGCTTTTGTTTGTTCTTTTGACATTTTTGTATGTATTTTAGGAGCTTCTCAAATTAGTCCTACATACTTATTAATTGTCAATTTGAGATACATTGTGAACCTTAGTTTTATGATCTCTGTTCTCGGCTTTATGCACCTATGTCAAAGGGGGGTTGCAAATAGGTTCAACAAGGAAAGCAAATTTTAAACAAAGAACAACTACATTGATCTCTTCCATTAACCACCCTTACAGGATTCCATAAGTACCTATTTGTTTGTTGATATGCAGATTTTCCATAAATCACATTTGTTAAAGTTGCGTGTGGCTCCTTCTGAAACTGCAATGACTGATGTTTTTCGGGAGGTTAGTATTTTATTTTGTGAGCATATATTAGTTATTTGAATGCATTTTCTCATGGTACATATTATTTTGGCCATACTGTAGATTTAGTGCTGATCTGTATTTGTCTGTTCTGGTCATCATAAATTGTGGGTATTTAGGATATTAACATGTGACCACGTAAACTGTTTAGCTTATGGACATTGTGCTGTTTGACACCTAGATCTTGTTAGTTAGCACGGAATCTGCAATTCTTTTCTGTAGCTGAATAGCTGCTCATTTAGAGGAAACAGAACCAGATAGTTGCTGTCCTGGGGCTGCTACTGCAAGTTCCGGCAGGATAAAATTTTCAGCTTGCTGGGTGATCAAAAGGTTGGTCAAGGGTTTAAAACAAAAAAAGGCTGGTCAAGAGTCAAGAGCTCCAGATTTGTCATCAAAGCTGGGAGATAATAGTTTTCAAAGCTGGGATATTATAGCTGTATTGCTGTCAGAGATGTCAAAGGTTGTTGATTGGACTTGGCCCATCTCCAATACATTGCTCTGATAGCATGTGAGATTTACTTCTTTTGCCAATCAGATACAAAGGATTGCAGTCTGGCAATGGGATTGCCAGATACAAAGATTGCTACTGTGTTCCTCTTATTATTCTTGATCTGCTTTAAGTGTGTTGAGATTATTCAGATATCCTTATATCTTAACTCAATCATCATGCCTTTGAAGATGGATTCCTTTCCTTTGGCACATTTTATTGGAGTACTCTGACATCATACTTGTTGATATATTATATATATTCTACCAACCGATACGATATGACCATCCTATCAGGTTTTATGCAATTAGAGGAGAAAAGGCCTCTGAAGTTGTCAGAACAATTCATCTAAACTTTCTCTCATAAAGTACATGGTAACATCTACACATAAGCCCTTACTGGTTGTCATGATGATTGGTTCACTCTCAACAAGGGTCAACACAGGTCTAGGGTGGATCAGGCTTGAATTTGCTGCCGGTCACATAAAAAACAATATGATGGTGCTTTGATTAAATAGTGACATTGTCCCCACCAAAGTTGAATGGCAGAAAAATACTCTCTTGTTGGATGAGCTTGAGTTGTTTGGGACATACCAGTTATTGTATCTGGATAGTTCAGACATGGAACTTGCTGAAACAGATAATCATCCCACCAAACAATTCTTGGTCTTAAACGTTTAAGAAATTGCAAGAAGCTTATATCTGTTGACTGCTAATTTTTTAATGGTATAATTTGATTGACGTGTCATTGGCTATCAAAATGTGAAATTTATACCACCAGAATAAACTCCTTTTCATTACTTCTTGTGGTCTAGTTACTCAGCTTTGTTGGTTTTCTTTTTACACCAGATAATGCATATATCATTTTTCATGCTGTATTTATTGCTTGCGGCATTTGTAGTTTAGCAACCATGTTTTCTTTGCAGGTAGCGATCATGAAAATGTTGGACCATCCAAATATAGTTAATCTCATTGAGGTCATTGATGACCCAGACACAGATCACTTCTATATGGGTATCCTACTATGACTTTCTCTGTAGCTTTTCTAACTTAATTGTTGCTACTTCTCCTATTGGAAGTTATACATGCTCCTTGTTGGTTATTGACTTGATAACCATGGTTTAATGCTAGCTCTTCTCCTTTGCAGTACTGGAATATGTTGAAGGCAAGTGGGTATTCGAGGGTTCTGGTGCAGGTAATAATTTAGGAGAAAGTACCACTAGAAGATACTTGCGAGACATAGTTGCTGGCCTCATGTATCTCCATTCTCATGTAAGATGTACATATAATTGTTGGTTTTGTACTTATAGAGCTAGTTTCGGACTTGTCCAAGTTGAGTTTAGTTTGATTCTACATGTATTAAGTCCAATCTGAGTGGTTTTTGTAATCTCTACAAACAATAAATGGTTATTGCGCTTATTTGACCATTAAAATGACACAAATTTAGGATCAGTTTGTTCAGGTATTAATTTCCTGTTTTGATTTTCAAGATGATGTTTCTTCTGAAAAATAGTTCAATTTATTTGCACAGACAATACTCAATTAGTGAGCCTTATCCTACCAATGTAGCTACATCTCTTGTTATTGAGGCTTAACTTGAGTGGTATGTTGGTTGGCTTATTTTTTGGGTGAAGTACTGGTTCTGGCAATTATGAGAAGTTCTATTCCTTCGTTTCCTGGTTCTTTTTTCTACTTATTCTCCTTGCTATGCAATTAAAATGGTTAGAGATCAATTTATTTGAGTAAAAGGTAGATCCTTGGGCGTGACCAGACTTTTGGAACATCTATGATCTATGATGATATATTACCTCCAAAATCTTAACAAAAAAGGAGAGAAAGAAGGAAATTCAAAGTTTTCCACTAAACAAAAAGAAAGCTATGAGATCTTTTTAACTTTGCACTAAAAATGATCTTGAAAGTGTTTTCCAAATTAATTTAAAAGTTTTACTGGCCTAGTTTCTTGATATCATTATTTTAAGTTCAAATTGATGTACATGTTCCTCTTGGTATGTCATATATATCTTCTAAAATTTTTTGAACACTATTAATGGTTTTCCATGTTTTACTGATTGCTTATTAAATTGGTTCTGAGTCATTAGTTGTATGACTTTCCAATCTATTTGTATCATTAAGACTCTAGATAAGCTAGAACTTTGAATATGCAGGATACATGTCCAGTGTCATTCTATAGTCTATAGGCGAGGATTTGTTTTTACAAAATGCATTTGAATTAGATGAACATAAGTTAGTGCTATAACCTTTTCATATCATTTATACAAATGATGGGTCATGACATGTATAGTTCTAAATTCTAATAACATTCTATAGTTCCATCACTTTGTCTAGGGTCCTAAAGTATAGCATTAAGTAAAACTAGAATATGCTTAAAAGTTTGGCTGGGTTAGCATTTGATGTACTAAACAATAGACGAACCTATTCATGTCAGCTGACAGTTGAAACTGTTTGGAAGAGATGCAAAATATTGCTTGGACTTATTCAGTTTGACTGCTCATTCCACCTTCTTGATTGTTGTGTATGTCATACTAGTTCTGTCATAAGTGCAGAATGTCGTCCATGGAGATATTAAACCTGATAACCTTTTGGTGACAAGAAACAACAACGTAAAGATAGGGGACTTCAGTGTTAGCCAGGTCTTTGAGGTACTGTTGATTTGTCATTTTTTCCTTTTGCTATTTAGCACTGAATATTATTTTTGATGCAACAGCTAGAAGTAGCTGGTCATAGATTTTTGCCCCGATTACTGGTAGGCAAAGTTACTAATTTCCTCAGTTGCTCCAAAGAATGAACCTTTCACAATTTCCAGGCTCTAATACTGTCAACACCACATTATACTCTATAAATTCATGTATGATCAATCACACGAGGGATTTTTGCACAGCATGACACTGAAATTATTTGCTCATTTTTTAAAACTTCAAGCTTTAAAGATTGATTTCTTAGATGCTTAATATGTAATTCTTCTTCTTAGTTTAATGCTCCTCTGTTTTTCTGATTATTTCACAACTGAAAATCTAGATGTGTTTTATAGTATTTACTATGTATGCTTGGCCTACCCAACTGCATTAGCTAGTGGTGTTTGATCAAATAAAAATGCCCAAATTTTAATAAATTATTTGAGTGCAGTCTTGGTAACTATTTTTACATCTTATTTTCAAACCATGCATTATTGGAGAAATATCAATGACCTTCAGACTTTTGCTTCTTTTTATATGCATCATTAGTAGTTCAAAAGATTCAGAGATATAGGTTTTGTTATCTTTTTGTAGTTTGTCAAGGACTGCTTTACATTCAGTCACACTGAACCTACACCCTTTGATACTGCTTTTTTATATTCTTGCTTTGGCTCAAACTGAGTTTAATAGACAATGTAACTACTTTCCCTCCTTATATATAGAGGAAAAAAGACCAGTACATGAGATAAAAGGAAAACAACCGGGAGAAGTAAAATCTTTTGTTATGTAATTGTGGTCAAATTAATCAGATATAGTTTGTAGAGGTCAGGACTAACTTGAGCTTAGTTCCAAATGCCATCTAGTTTGTTGGAAAGCCAGCACATATCTTTGGTCATGAAATTTTAGCATATATTATATATTGATCAGTGTTCTCACTGTTAAATCCAATGAAGTTCACATGCATATGGATATCAATAGGTGTTACTGTGCTGACAGACAGGAGATATTTTGACCAATCAACATCAAACTTAATTCAGACACTTAACAACCAAACATAAAAAATTTAACACTGATGAAAACTTTCAATGTCTTGATCGATGATCAAATATGTAAAAGGAAAAATAAAGAGAGGAGAGATTGAATGAAAAAATATACAGTGGTTTTGTATATTATTTCATTCATACCTCCACCAAAGAATTGGATTTCAAATTTTTGATATACCAAGAGAGGTGAGATTGATGATCATAAAAATATGTAGTATAGCACTTAATGCATAAACAAGAATTGGATTGGATAGATCCTGACTCATTGTCCTATTCAATTATGAATCAAACTATTGCTTTCTGGTCATCAAATTTCATGCTCAGTCGATATTTGGTTCCAACTGCATCATATTGTGTCCGGTACTCTCTGTTGACACTCCTATCCTATGGTCCAAGGAATCCAGTACACTTGTTCAAATACAATTACTCAGACACATTTTAAGTATATGCTCTTTATAATGATTTTCTGTCCTCTCTATCTAGAAGTTAACTATGGCCTTCACTTGCGCCCATACTCTAGTGGTTAGTCTACTTTCTAATATGTTATTAGATGTTATATTAGCTTGAACTAAGTGTTATTTTGCTGATATTACTCTTTTTTTGTTGTTCTTAGTTGATAGCCATGCTAAAAAATATAAATTCATGTGTAAACTGCAGGATGATAATGATGTGCTCTGGAGATCCCCAGGAACCCCTGTTTTCACTGCACCTGAATGCTGTCTAGGTGAGTAAGACATGATAGCATGTTCTAGTGATATAACTCATGTAATGGTACAACATTCCCTTGATACTTTTATACAGGTTTAACCTACCGTGGTAAGCCTGCCGACACATGGGCCCTAGGTGTCACTTTGTATTGCATGATATTCGGGCAATATCCTTTTCTGGGGGATACACTTCAGGACACATACGACAAGGTTCGACCTTACTCCACTAGAAACCTTTTCTTTTGCTGATTGTTTAGCGATGATCGAGTCTAAAGTGATTCTGGTGCATGCTGCCTTAGATTGTCAACAGCCCACTGATCATTCCTGATGAAATAAATCCACAACTGAGAAGTTTGCTAGAAGGGCTTCTCTGCAAAGGTTGGCTGCAGTTCAGTTTTCTATATTTTCCACAAAATTTCTCTTGATTCTTATCGTTCCCTATTATTTTCACATGGCATACATGTGCTGCAGATCCCCAGAACCGGTTTACCTTGCGTGTTGTATCGGAGCATCCTTGGGTCGTTGGCGATGAGGGTCCGATCCCGGAGTACTTGTGTAAGTGCAGGCGAAAGTCTTCTGCGTGAAAAATATGGCTGGAGCATATCTTGTCTTGGCTTGTGAGTTTGCTTGTGAAGCCTGTACAGATGATGGTAGTTGAAATATGAGACTTTGGTGGCTATAAATATAATGAAGAGCATCAACCAAAAGAAAAAGTCCATGCACTCATCTTAGTTATGCTTTCTGGGCATTAAAAATGTTGATCCAGTTCTACTATTTTCGTACCTCGCGAAGATAGCAACTTATCTTCGAGAATAACAAGAGAGAGTCGGCAAATATGCGTGGACGATTTTATTACTTGTTGGCACCCCACCTTGATAAAATCCTGTTGGACTTGCTAACATATGTTTTTTATCCTGTTGTGTGTGTGTGTGTGTGTGTGTGAGAGAGAGAGAGAGAGAGAGAGAGAGAGAGAGAGCTTTCCACTTAAAAAGTTGTTCGACAGAACCATGCACTTTCAAGGTATGAATGGTGTGGCGAAGTCACACGACTCCCTCTTACCAAAATAAATCTGCTAATAAGATTGGCGCAAGCAACATTTCAGTATTTTGCCAGACCCGTGATATGGGGAGAATCGTCCTCGCCTCAGGCCAGCATTTAATTGACAGTAGGTAGATCAGCTGTGGCTGTCAAGAAAGGATTCCTGTGAATCTGCGAACAGTTACGTGTAAAATTGAGATATATATTGTAAAAAATAAAATTATTCGTTAAGACGATGAATGTTTATATATTTTTTAAGAATTTTTTAATAATATACTTTAATTACAAAATCAAATCAATTACTCAAATTCTAGATTTATTCTCAAATCAAAAAATTGAGGATGTAAGGAATATAAGGATGTTATTTCATTTGTTTCTATTATGATCTTTCATTGTAAGATTGTGTTTCTGTCAAGATGTCAATTTTGAATTGATTTAATTGAAATATATTATGAGTAAGAGGTTTTGTGAGGGAGCCAATTAGTTGATCAGAGGTATATATGTGAGAAACACGTAATTGATGCCTGATAAGTTTATCTCTAACGAGGTGGAAACCGATGACAATATATTTTATGTATGAGTTATTGGCGCATAGGTGGTGTCGATACTATTATAATATATTATAGAAGTGGATTGGAAAGTGATGTCTAAGTTTCTATAATGAGAGGTGTATTTGAGAGGGTCTAAGGTATAATCATATAAATTTAATGATATATGTTGTTTGAGTGGCTCGAATTGCTAAAGGCCCATGGTTTTGGAAGGAAAACATAGACTCAACAAAAATAACATTATATGATATAAAGACTTTTTAAGTTTGAGGATTATAGTACTATAAAGCTTTATGTTTAAGAGAGTATTTTACGAAGATGCAAGGCTTGGATTCTGGTATTAACTTATGTGAAGTATAAGAGCGGATAACATAAACAACCAAATACTTTGTATTTTTGAATGTTTAGGATTTTGTAAAATAATTTTTCAAATGATGACTGGTATTGTAGAACTGGGGTGAGCATACAATTAATGAGGTAAACTATAATTTAAAAGGTTGCTGACCAAAAGGTTGGTGATATGAAGGCTTGATGTAAAAGAATGAGACCAGTTTCAATTATATGTCGATGCTTTTGTACGGTATGGCCAACTAGTTGAGGTGTGTTTAGTAGTGAGTTAAGATGTTGCATACCATAGGATGAAGGTAGGTTTTTAGAACTTAGTATTTACCTCATTCATCAGAGTAAATTATTTTAATGGTAGAATGGAAGAAGTTTTCGACTATCTTTCTATAGAGAGTAAGAATTACGGTAACTTCAGATTTATATTTGAGAGTATAATTATATATTTAATAAATTAATCTACAAAAATGACATCAAATTTGAAAATGTCAAAAGTGATTAGGGCAAGGCCCCAGACATCGGTGTAGATAATTTTAAATAGTATGGAGCAGGATATCGAAGACATTCTAAAGATAGTCTATAACTTTTATTACTAAGGCAAGCATCACAATGAGTTACAATTCTTCTTGATTTGGAAGTTAAAAGAAAGTAACAAGAAATTAGCTATTGTTGAATGGAGGATAATGAATGACTAAGGTGACGATGCCACACATCAATTAGAGCAACACCTGAATTAAGAGTGGTTGATTGGGTGATTTGTAAAGCTGATGGTTGCTCGGAGATGTTATTTTTATTTTGACTTCAGACCAAGGATACTCTCGTGTTCAAATTCTTTATAAGAAACAAGTAAAGAAAGATTTCAATAGAGGTGTTATTTTGTTTGCATAATTGAGAAACAAAAATGAGATTCCTTTTAATATGAGGTATATATAAAATATTATCGAGTGTAAAAGTGTTGGTATTTGAATTAAGTATTGTGGAACCAATATGAGTAATATGGATTCTGTTATCGTCACCAATGATGATGTCTTCATTGCCTCCATAGTCATTATAGATGGATAAGTTCTGCAGATCAGAAGTGATACGATGAGAAGAGTCAGAGTCAATAATCTAATTATTTGGATGAGTAATCAGAGTAGTTATGATGTTTGCTTGAGGTCAATTGGGTGTAGTAGGAGGCTTGGGTCGAGATTAATAGACTTTTGCTACATGTACGATTTTGTCACAAAGCTGATAGAGAACTTTTTGTTTATTGTTATTGTTGGGACGCCATAGCTGCTGATAGTTATAGTGTATGTTATTTCTTAAGTTATGAGGATTGAAGTTGCTACCATGATTGAAGGGTTAGCATAATGGAGGATGATGGCTCGACGTGTTACCTATATGTCCCGGAGGTATCTTGTTCGGTCTTTTGTTGCAGTTATTATTACTTTGATTGCTCTTTCTTTTGAACTTTTGATTGAATTGAGCTGTGATAGTTAGTCCTGTCATCTTTTCTTCTCTTTTCAAATATGTATTAAGATCAATCAATTTGTTATATAGTTCTTCAAATAACATCAGTGAATCTCATACCCGAATTATTGTCGCTGATTTCTTATATTCGTCTCTTAGGTAATTGAGACTATGGACAATGACTTCTGGGGATGACTTATTAAAATCAAGTCATTTATAAAAACTTTTATATTTTATATATAATCAATAATAGTATTGCTCTCTTAAGTTATTTTTATCAGAGTTAATAAAAGACTTAGCATAGAGTGCGAGAGTGATTGGCCAAGGTGACTTGTAACTTTGTTCATGCTTCCTACAGTACTACACAAAGATATTAGTGGTACTATGGAGTCAATAATTGAGGTTTGAATTGCTTGTAGAATAAGACAGATCTTATCATAACCATAACTTGTGATTAAGATTTGTTATTGGGCTTGGTTTTCTTGGTATTTGGATCTTTTGTGGTGGACAATTAAAAGAGTCACCGATGTAGTCTAATAGATAATATTGAAAGAGAAGATAATTTGAAGGGGATTTGAGTTGCACCATTCATAGATATAAGTCGTGTGTATTGAAAAAATTTATTGTTTCGTATGAGAACAATAATTGGAGAGATAGTCGCGCATTGTTGGAAGGAGGAAAAAAAGGTCCTTTCTTGCTACAACTGCACAAAAAGATTGATAGTTGATGGTGGTGCCCTTTGGAATTCCAATCCTTGCCATCACGGAGTGATCTGAGCGGGTGAGGAAGAAGAAGAGGAAGAACCAACGTCGGATGTGGTAGGAACATCCTCTTCGCATTGTTCACAGTGTAGTGTGTCTAGACTTCGGAGTTGTCGTCGACTTTCTCATGGAGGCAGCTCTTCGAGTTGCAGGAGCATAGGAGCGTCCACTGTGCGACCACGACAGAAGACACGTGGGCACAAGAGAAGGCGATGGGGCGACCATAGTGGGGTCCGTCGATAGAGTAGTCGCTTCTGATCTGTAGACCGCAAGAGGAGGCGACAACAACAGTGAGAGGCGATAGGTTATGCCTTGCAGCCAGGAGGAAGAGGTTCAACTGGCGAAGAGAATAAACCGTCGAGCAAGATGCAATGGTCGATGAGGAAGAAGGGGGCAGTCGGGGCACAGGAGGTTCACTGGTGACGAAGAAGTGGGAGGTTCCTAAATCAGATTTGCACAGGAGGGTCGAGGCGGCGAAACCGTATAAGCAGAGCCTCGCGCCGCTTCTTTGGGTAGGTGGCAACGGTGACTCCGCACAAGGAAACATAGGGCATCGAAAGGGAATCAACAGTAACCGCTTCTTTGGATGATGGCAACAGATCTGAGGAGGCAGTGAACAAGCAAGCAACCTTCTAGAGGTGGACGGAGGGCAACGCGATCGGCCCGGAAGGCATCGAACCAAGTGAAGGTGAGGGAGTAGACATGGGATCGATCAACGAAGATTGCCTAGCAAAAGCGAATATACACAACGAATATGATCGATGAAAAGCAGAAGGTAGGTGATCATTGAGGAGAAGCAAGGGTACGATCATCGAAATCAACATCACCGGGGGTGGCAGATTAGATCAACGTTGTCGAAGGACTGATTAGATCTGTTGATTGATCAAAGCAGAGGAACATTGAGTTGATAGCTACAAATCTGTGCAGCATCGATAGAGGGTAGAAGAGTGCCAGAGAAGAGGTAGCACCGAGGGATCTCTGTGTAGAAGCAAAATCAATTGGTAAAGAAATGGGATCGACAGAGTTGAGGAGTTAGAAGAAACCGACAACGATATATTAACAGAAGGGAGGGATTGTTGTTACTAGAAAAAAAAAAAAAAAAAAAAACTTGCTCGAGCCAAAAGAACCTCTAATACCATATAGAATTAGGAAATATGTTATAAAAATTGATGAATTTTATCCATTGAAATGATGATTATTTATATAAATTTTGAGAAAAAAATTTCTTCAATCATGCACTTAAATTATACAATCATTCAGATCCTAAATTGATCATTAAATCATAAATTGATTGAAAATATAAAGATATCATTCAATATAAGTGATCTTTTATTACAACTATTATACTATAAAATTTAATAGATTCAAAATATAAAGGTTCACAAAATTCATCAACTTCCAAGTTCCAAATATGTCATAAGATAAACACGTAAAGATGAATAACCAACCATTGATGAATAGATAAGCTGAAGTAATGCTATTAACAAATGACCAATGGAATCAAAGGTAACGTGGTTCTCCATGGAATGCCTCGTCGACTGTAATATATGGCCAAGGACTTCCAGA